TTGTGGCATGGTCTTCCTACTTTTATAAGGACAACTAACATAAATAACCTTCTAAGCAAAATCATTCTCCTAGTAGGAATGAAAGCTCGAGCAATAACTAGGAGAGACTAGCCTATAAGCGCTTGGTGTATTCTAAAAGTTTACTACACCATTGAATCAAAATGGGATGACCTCTTATAATTAAGAAAAATACCTACCACCTCTAGGATGTGAAAAAAAATGGTATTTCTTGCATTTAATACTCCAATCACCTTAAGATGCAATATCCTTGATAAGAATATAAGTTTATCAACTCTCCACTAGGGTCTTCAGGCCTCACACTATCTTTAGCGATTGATATCAAATTTCCTACTCTCTAGTGCGGTTGCAAACTAACACAAATCTCAAATAGGGATTTTGGGCCTCATGTCATCTCTAAGGATGGTCATGGGTCTCCTGCTCTCTAATATGGTCTTAAACTAACATGAATCTCTAGTGGGGCTTTCAGACCTTATGTTATCTCTAGAAATAGCCACAAGTTCCCTACTCTTCAATGCAATCTCAGACTGACATGACTCTTCAATAGGGCTTGTAGGCCTCACATTATCTCTAAGAATCACATTATCTCCAAGTATGATCTTAAATCTCTTATTCTCTAATGTGGGGCTCTTACACTCCATGCATTACTAGAAAAGCCACAATCCTCCCACACTCTAACATGAACACTCTCTAATAAAGGGCTCTCATGTTTCATGTCATCTCTAGGGAGGTAAAAGGCCTCCTACTTTCTGAAACAAAAACTCTTCAATGAGGACCTCTCACTCTAGTGTGATAACTTTCTATTACTAAGCTTTTAAGCCTCGTACCATTGTTAGGGAGGCCATAAAACCCTACTTTTTAGTGTGATATTTCTCTAGTTATGGGCTCTTAACCCCCACATTATTTACATGAAGGCTATAGACCTCTCACACTCCAATGTTATCAATATCTTGTAAGGGGCTTTTAATTACCTACACTATCAACCAAAAGGCCATGAGCCTTTACCTCTTTAGTCAGATCAATATGACTTTCTAAAAAGGCTTTTAAGCCTCATGTTATCGCTAGGGATGGCCTTCCATGGTTTTTCCTAAATCTTTTAGAAATGTTTTTAAGTATGGTCTCTTTCATGGATTCGCATCCATATTTTTAGAGATTTTTCTAAGTATGGATTCCCCTTTACCTCTTAGAAATTTTTTTAAGTATAGTTTTCTCCAAGAATTCCCTTCTCCCTTTTTAGAAATTTTATATGGGCTTCACCATGGGTTCCTCTCAACCTTTTAAAAATATTTTCTAAGTATAGGTACTTCAAATAGATCCTTTTAACCTTTAGAACTTTTTAAAGTATAGGTTCCTTTATGGTTTCCCTATACATTTGTTTTCTTAAGTTTGGATCCTCCCCATGAATTCTCATATGACAGAAGCACTTTTTGAGTTATGATGCACATCCCTACATATGAGTTCTCTAATAAATTACCTCAAGGTTTCCACTCATCTTCTTATGCAAAGAAAAATCAACGAACTCGTTATAGTAATTGAGAATTTTTATAAGATTTTACATATCAATATCACAAATACTTTGAAGGGATATTGATGGATCATGATTTATCAGTAGTTTTCAAAATAAATTTTTTGTTAAACTCGAGCCTAAATTTAATAAGCCTAAAACTCTGAAGGCCTAAAAAACCATAGGCCCAGGCAACGCGCTAAGGCTATCTGCCTATAAGATCAACCCTCAGGATTGAGCCCAAGGGATAGGCTCAGGTAGTGCATAAGGTTAGTGTTAAGCATGCACCATAGTGTCACAGATGTTGTGCAACAACACGGCATCCCTGTGTGATTGACATATGCCTAAGCCCAATGTTAAACACTAGCCCTATACCTTTTAGGCTTAGGCTCTGCACCCAAACCCAGTATACATAAGCTCAAGCAACACACCTAGGTCTATTTTCACTATCATGCCCAGGACACACGTCTAAGCCTAACACTTCGAGTTTGATTTTTTTAGGACTCTACGCGAGTCTCTCAGGATTTTTACAGACCTAATACATTTGGAATCCTACTTTCCCTACACCTCCAAGTGTATAAAAATCTCTCATGGTCCACCACTTCATTAATATTTTTAAATGGAATACAACGCATGACCAATAACATTAATTTATAAGGGTAAAATAACTTTTCAGCTCCTTCGTTTTATAAAAATAACAAGATTCATGAATTATAAATACTTTATAAATCATTCAAGCTCAAGGTTGATAATCTCTCTATCATATATATATATATATATATAATATTTCTTTCTAAAATATCATTGCACTCTCTCCCAATAAAAATATTTAAGCATATGAGAGTCTCCATATCTATTAAAAAAAAACTTTTTACAGGTACTTGACTTTTCATATAAAGCTACCACGCATATTATCTTCCCATGCCAGGCTACCACTCGTCTTAGCTAAGAAGAATTTATCAGATTGTAAGAATTAAGTGATTCACCTATTGTCCAACCACATAAATCTTATTTCTAAACACTTTGTATTTTAAAACATCTTCCAAGATATAAAATGTTTTGCTATGAAAACTCAACTTTAATTCCTAAAAAAATAATAATTAGAATTTAAGTGTCACCCATGCTATGTATAAACTTTTTAGGGTTTCGAAGCATAACAATCCTTCCCTGGATTGTAAAAGTAAAACAGAGTCCAAATGTATTTTCAAAAGAAGTTGGTGTCTAAAATGACATATAATGTGTTAGGTATTTTGGTTGTAACTATGTTTTTACGATCTCTAATTAAATATTTATGAATTTGTTTGTTCCAAGTTCAAATAGCACTCTAAAAAATAATTAATTAATGCTTGCAACAATGTCTTGCTTTTCATGTCGATCCAAATCAAGCTTTATACCTGTTTGTGAATCATCAATCTGGTTGTGTTTGTGACTTTTAGCTATGGTTTTTAAGCTTTTAGTAATATTTTAAAAGTCAATTCAACCACCCCTTTCATGTTTTTGAGTTTGTTTGTTTGTGTGATTGCTTCTACGTTTGAAACAACCACAGCCAAACAATTGTTTGGTAAACACAAAAACACATTTTTTTCTAATGGGGCCCACTGCATATTACGTTTAAAGTGTAGGAAAAATCAAAGTAGCTCTCATCTACTTTTCTTCTCTGCACTGTTCACGTAAACAATGTATTTTTTTCAAAGAAAAACTAGTGCAGTGAATTGATTTCCCTCACATTGTTCACATAAACGTGAACAATATTTTTTTTTTGAAAAACTAGTTTAGGATGAATTAAATTTACTTGCACTATAATCTCAATTTTATTCTTGATAATATCTTACCTAATTTCATTGCACACTCAAAAAATCATGGAAATTGTAGTTCTCGTTAGGGGTGTTTAAAAAAACCGATCAACCGATTAAATCGTAAAAACCGAGAAAAAATTAACCAAAAACATCAAACCGAGAAAAAAATCAATTAAACTGATTTAATAATTAAAAAACTCACCCGGTCCAATTCGGTTTTGGTTTTAAAAACTGAAACCGGGTAACCGAACCGAACTCAACGTATCTAGCTTAAACCCACTTAAAAAAAGGAAAGGGGTAAAAATAGAAAAGTAACCTAACTAAAGTTCCCTAACGCTACAAATTTCCCCACTTTTCCAGTAAAAACAGCAGCCATCTCATTCCATCTCACTCATTGGTTGCCATCTCCGCCCCCTGGTTTAAGTGTTTATTTTTCATTTTGATTCTTAAATGCCTTTTGTATTTCTTTTACAATTTTTTCTTCCATTTATTTTACTTCATCATCTCAAGTGTATAATCTACACAATAAAAGCTAAGATGAATCGTGTATAATCCACCCACTTTTCTTGTACAGTTATTGGAAGTGGACGACGCTTTAATATTAGAAGTGTTCTCCCTCGTTCATCCACGCTAATCACGATTGCATTTTTGAAAAGGTTGATGCATTCATTGCCTACCACTAACACTAATAATCTCGCACAACTTGCATAATTTTCTTGCTCAACAAATTTGCTTTGCATATTATAGCAGGGATCTTGAGAGAATATAGTAAATAATTTGTTCATAAATTTTCTTCTTTTCACCTTTTTTTTGTGTGCTGGCCGATGTGATTAGATTTTTCAATTTCAACCCCCAAAAATCAAACTTGATCGAACCAAACCGGTTCAATTTAAACCGGTTTTTGGTTCGGTTCGGTCCATTTTCCGATTCAGTTGAGATTTTTAGCCTAAACCGAACCGGACCGGACCTTGAACACCCCTAGTTCTCGTTGGATAAATTTTTTAACATAATGAAATTGTAGATAATTTAATATAACAATAAAAAATATTATATATAAAATATTATTTATTTCGTGATGTAATAGTAATAGTTAAATATAAAATATTTAAATTTAAAACCATATACATACATACATATATATATATATATATATAACCAAACACATTAAACTATTTTTTATTTAACCTCAATTTTAACTAAAGTTTTAATTAAACATATATAAATATCAAATCAACTTTAACTAAAAATATTTAATATAAAACAACTTTTTTCAAATAATAATCATAAAAGCTACTACAATATCAAACATGCTCAAATCTATTTGAAAAAATTAACTTTTAAAAAGTTATAAATTATAGCTTATAAAAATAACACATCCAAATAGTTGTGATATAGCTTTTTAAAGTAGTACTAAATACTTAAAAGCGAACGTAAACTCTCTTTTTCTTTTTTCTTTTTGTTCTTAGATATGCAACTTCCATGCTAAGGAAATGTTTTGAATTTGCTAATCTGAAGGAACGTGACTGGGCTGAGATAGCATGATGGCTCTGTTCATCAATTAGTACTTTCCCAATTATTATTGCTGGGAAGATCCTGAGCAGTAATTCCTCAATTTAATTTTACTAAGACACTGAAACTTAGTGAAAGCACTGTTAATGAGGAAATAGCAACAAAAGAACACGAGAATGAAACCACAATGAGGTGGTGATAAATGGGCGCAGCAATTGACCGCAAAAGGAAAAGATAATTAGAGGAAAAAAAAATACAAGCCCATTTTGATTTCAAAAACTCAGATCTCCCTTTGCATCCTTCGTAATTTTTAAGGCACTATCATGACATTCTTGAAAGAATAAATTTTCTGCCAATTTACAATTGTGAATATACTTACCATATCCAGAAATTTACAGGGCAACGATAGTAGATTATCTCTAACGATGACAATCGCCTCCTCCATGTGTTCGGTCAAAGTTCGAATTCCCGGGGCAGATACCAACATCTCTCAATGGGATCATATGGAAATATTGTATTGAAAAACAATCTTAAGAAGAAAAGCTATGCAATACTAATTGTAGCATGATTAGACCAGTTTCTGCACACAGTTCATCAAAACTCTAAGGTAGATTGAAATGCATCCTATAGGGGTTGTGGGCGGGGGGGAGAGACCAGAGGGATGCTTGTGAAATTGGAGATAAATTGTAGTGGAAAAAAAAATTATCAGGTTAAATTATTCCTATTTTTATGTGGACATTTTGACTATCACCAAAACAACCCCATCAACCAATTAAATAATTGAAGTAAAATATAACCTCAGAATGTATATTGACATTTTTTCTTCTTCAGATGGCTGTCCCCGTGGGCTTGAAGCAATCGATATTGCACAATCCAACAGATCTTATCATGTCCCCAAAGCTGCCACAAGCATTCAATCAAGAATGAAGAAAACCAGAATTGCACGTGTGCACCATGTTGGGCACAAGGAAGAGTGAAAAACAAAAATCATGAATTACATGAGGAAAAGGAACCCATAGCCAGCTTACCGATCAATGCTGTTCCTAGCTTTCTCATGCTGGTCTGAACCATTGCTCTCTCTCTCAGGGTGATCCACACTTTTTCTTGATCTCTCTCTCCTATCAGTGCTGGACCTTGACTTCTCTCTGCGGTCTGTGCTTAGCCTAGGCTTTTCTTTTTTATCAGCACTTAGTCTAGACGTCTCTCTCTGATCTATACTAGATCTGGCAACCTCCCTAAAATCTGTGCTCTTTCGAGGATCCTCTGTTTGTTCCACAATGGACCCAGATACATTTCTCAGACGTGATGATTTCTCAATGGCTGATATGAACTTCTTGAGATGCTTTATGTATTGCGGGTAAAGCTCCAAGTCACAATGATTCCCTCCCTTCACCCATAACGGTTCGTACTTCTCTTTACAACACTCCCAAAGCTGCTTACCGTGGGACCAATCCACAACATCATCAGCAGTTCCCTGCAAGAGACAGAAATCACAAAGGATTTCGGTGGATCATAAGAGTGTAAACTTGAAAAAACTTAGCCAATGTTGCATGCTACTAAAATTGGCATTTTATACAGTATAACACCCTTCAGTCTCAGCTCTCAAAGAAAGAGGCGAGCTCTGTTTATCACGGTGGACAGTATCAGTCAACTATAGAACTAATGTGTGCATTTATCTCATAAGACATATAACCAATTAAACAGTACAGCAAAATATTAAGTGCGGCCTTGTTCATACAGTACAACATACGCGTTTCATGTTTATAGTCTGCTCAGTTTAAAAAAAAGTGTAAGGTCTGCAGTATTAACTTAATGTTTTCTTATCCTCGAATGTATTCTATTCACTATGCAAACAGCAGCATCTCCCTGGATTCATTCAATTGATCATCCTCAAGTTTTTTGGACCTTCCAGAAGACTCTCTCACCTTTATCCGTCTTCAGACATTCAACTGATTCTTTTCTCTTGGCATTTCCTTCAACTTTTTTCCGGCCTTCATTTCAGTATTCCTAGTCCTCTTTTTAATCATATTTATTTTCCTTTGGTGTCAAAGCACTCTCCAGGTAATGAAAAACAGGGTGCAATATCTGATACAAAACATGACGATTCCATTCTGAAAAATCTAACTTTAAAAACCATGTATAGATAATCTGTGATTATTAGTAAAAATTTAGGATGATTTGTGGAGAAATTTAGACCTAGAGTATGATGAAATTCATCTCCTCAATTATCTCTTGCAGTTTCTTTCATTCTCTCATAAGCTCTTGAACTTTTGCCAAGAAAACTCAAAAACTTTTAATGGATGGTGAATCTTGTTAAATTGAAATGAATTCTACCTGGCCCTATTTCTAAACCATATTCAGCTCCATGGATCCTTCTGTTCGAACTTAATCTCAGCTATAGGTATAGTAAATTTCAGGATATTCAAATCCCAATCATTTCAAAGAAAATATAAAACAAGCTGAAAGCACACAGCACATGTTGCACGAAGTGCAGCAATCAGAAAAATAGCCCACAATTCTGATCCCAAGTTCAAACTCATAACTGCATCATAGGGACATCTTGGCAACTCAATTTTCCAAAGTGTAATCAAGAATAAGCAAATACGAGATTTCCATGTAAACAGGGAGTTATTGCACATAATTCACTTAATGATGCATCTCCAGGTTATTCCTTTTATACACTTTCTGTATTGAGTTGGCAAACCACGCATCTGATACTGTCTATTATCAAAGGTCATGGCAATAGTGCACCTCTTATCCTATAAGAAACTGTAGTGGGGTCTTTATGCTTCATGTTTCTTTGCACAGACGACTTTCCCTGGCCTCTGTGGCCATGTTGGGGAGGATGATGGTGTGAAGAAACATTATCCTAGCAAGCTATAATTTCAAAAACATAAGAAAAAACATCAACCATCATTTTCAAAAGAAAGAAACACTCACATGAATCACCAGTACTGGACAACTGATGAAAGGTATTTTATCAATGTTCTGCACCACAAAAAGCAAACAACCATTAAAATGCAGTTAGCTTGAGTGGTGAAAATATTTAAGACCAAAGCTCTGCAGATGAGCATTCAGAGATGAAAAGGACCTTGTATATGTCGAACCAGTATGTTCTCTTCACTGGATAGATTACACGAAGGCCGGATGCAATTGGACTGTGAAGAACCACAGCCCTCAATTTTGGTAACCGTGTTGCCAAATCTAAAGTGGGTCCACTTCCAACTGATTGCCCGTATAAGATAACATCTTCTTCTTTGACCCCATATTTCTCTTCAAGACACCTATAAGCAGCTTCTATGTCAACATATGTATTCTGCTCAGTTGGCTGTCCAAAGAGAACAATGACACAACAAACAGTTAGAACCATCTTCAAAAGAGTGCCAAGCTAAAAACTTTTACCAATTAATCCAAGGCGAGATTCAACTTCAAGAAACAGTAACAAAATTTTACAACTAAATCCGATCTCATCTTGGCCGTCCATTAATTGTTACCCAATAAAGAGGAAACTATGAGTCTAACACACATGATAAAATCACTTGGTTTACTATATACATGGTTTATGACTTGTTCTACTCCTCAAGCCAAATTTCAAGTACACACATAAAATTCACAAATTTCATTTGCCTATTTCCGTTCCCATTTCCTCTCTTTACTTCATCTGTCAAGAAAATCCCATTAAAAAGAAAAGAAAAGAAATATCTTTCCTTTTTACCCAAAATTTTCTCAGCAACCAAACAAATCAGTTCCTACCAAGAAAAAATAAAAATAAAAATAAATTCCAAAATTTCATTCTCACCCTATTTCCTCTCCTATTCTCAGCTACCAAACCATTCCCAAAAAAAAAAAAATATCTTCTCCCCGTATTTTCTCAGCAACCAAAGAAATCAATACCAACTAAAATTAGAAAAGAAAAAAACAGTCTCATACCTTTCCAGTTGACTGTCCATACCCACTATAATCATATCTGCATAAACACACAACAACAACATTAACACTAACATTTCAAAGAAAGAAAAACCCCTTTTTTCCAAGTAAGAGTTTCTCTCTTAAGTAGCGGAACTGACCCCATCAAGTTAACACGGAGATGCAAACTGAGCTCACAAAACAAATCATACATCTGCCCCAGATCAGCTGCATTTCCATGCGAGTAAAGCACTGTCAATGAAGCCGCAGGGTTCTTAAAATACACCGCCACCACATGATTTCCTCTCTTCGTTTCCAATTTCAACACGTCAACGTATTCTCTATTACTATTATGTGCACCCGCCGCCGCCGCCATCCTTAACTTCTTCGCACCGCCCTCCGCCTCCTCGTCCTCGTCCTCCTCCTCCTCCAGCTCGTAAGACGGAGGGCTCGGAGGAAAAAACGCAAACTTCGCCGCCATCGTGGATGTGACCGCCCCCATCAAAAATAGCAATTATCCTGTTACTGTTAGATTCAGTAGGAAACTGTGAAAGAGATCAAATCTGATTTGAAAAGTTAAGTTAAGGGACTGTTTGGATGGAGATATGAAAGGACGGAAAGGAAAGGGAGGAAATTCCGGCGAGGAAAAGGAAGGGAAGCACGTGTGATTGTGATTTTTTATTGCGTCACAAAAGTTTAAACGGGAGACGACGGGGAGGAGAGATAGTGCGACCATGAGGGAGGGTGATGTTGAATTTCGACAGACACGTGTCCTTGTGGGGTTTGGAAAGGAGCGGAGAAGAGATGATGTTTTGGTGTCTCCGCGGTATTTGTTTGTACGGTAAGATAATGTTTTTAAGAAATAATAAATTTTTTTATATTAATTTAGATAGCTATAATATATTAATATAATATATATATATATATATTATATTAATATATTATAGCTATCTAAATTAATATAAAAAAATTTAGTATTTCTTAAAAACATTATCTTACCGTACAAACAAATATATATATATATTGTAGCTGTAATGATATTTTAATTTTATTTATATATAAATTAAAATTAAAAAAGAGTTTTTATTCCATTCAATTAGATGTTGTTTGTCAACTTGTATAATTTTATTTATTTATTTATTACTTTCACACATTATTCAGTATTGCCTCCAGCAGTTTACAAAATGTAGTTAAATTTTTAGGGTGCAAAATGGAGATACATAAGCCTTAAAGATAAGTTTCAAGATGCTTTCATACTTCATTTTCTATGGTTAAATAAGTAAGCTTTCGGCATTAAAAATGGAGAGGAGGACTGGGACTGGACTGCTGTCTTAATGATCATCACCAAACATGAACGCATATTAATACTTCTAAAAAAGTTCTGACTTAGTTTTTTTATTGTTAATTTGAACAATGAAATGGATTGATATTTTTTCGTTATTATGTTTATTTTTTTAATATTTACTTGATTTTAAATTAGTTTTCATAAATAATTTTAATTTATTTTTTATGAGGTTATTGCAATTTCAAACAAATACATAGATATTTAGTTTGTGTCTAATTTATTTTTAATTTTATGAATATTTATTTTTATTATTGTATAATTAATTTAAAATAATTTTTAAAAACAAAGTTCTTAAATCGAAAGAAGTAAATCATGGATATAACGGGTTATGCTATAAAACTCAGGTTAATCCGATTAGATCATGGATATGATAGGTTATAATGCAAAACTCAGGTTAATCTAGTATATTTTTTATATATTAAAAAAATAATCTTGATTTTTTTTTAAAGTCAAATTATATTTTTTACTGGTTATCTGGGTTATCTCAAGTATAGTTTTAAGACTCGGGTTCTGAGTTTTGACCAGGTCACTAGGTCAGCCAAGTCAATTTTTTAAAAAAATTAAAATGATGTCTTTTTAACGAGAAAACAAAAGTCAACTGGTTCTCAACAAAATCTTGTCGGGTCAACCCACCAAGTTAGTAGGGTCACATTGAGTTTTTCCTTCCCTATTTTTTCTTCAACCCAGCCTAGTTTCAACCCCGAGTCAACCGAGTTCAAGATTGTCTAACTAGGCAGGATTTCAAAACTATATTTTCATGATTTATCTGTCAACAAACTAATATTAATATAACTCTCTTATAATTTAATTTTAAATTCAAATTATATAAAAAATTAAATTAAAAATTTTTATGATTAACTCGGTAAACTACTCGTACGAATTACCTCAACTCATTACCAATTTTAACAAAAATATCAAATAATTCCCCTACACCTCAATTTTTTTTCTTCAAGGCTGCAGCTAGCACTGCCTTATAAAGTAGGATTGGTATAATTCATCAAGTACATATTTATTAGTCCCACGCTCATATTTCCTTCTCTTTTTTATATATTTTTTGACAATCTCTGGTTGGTGACTCTGTGGTGAGCAGTGATCAATCATTTTCCTCTGTACCGTAATTGGTACAACGCAGTCAATGCCATTTTTCTCCTTTTCCATGTGCGTTCGAGTAAATTATAAACAAGTCCTTCTACTTTTGTGAAATGATTTATATAATCCTTCGAAGTTTATTGTTTTTATTTACTCTCATCAATCTTCCCATATTATCTATGTTTTTTAAATAAAATAAATTAAAAAATAACATGAAATGGAAGAAAAAAATGAAGTCACAAATAGATATAAAAAACTAGTTGGTTAGTTTTTAAAACTAGGTAACTATTTAATTTATTTTACAAAATTAGAAATACTAATTTATAATTTACTCCACTCAATTCAATAACTCAATTGTATCCTTTTTATAGAATGAATAAATAACTAGTCAAGATTATGCCATAATTTTCAAAAATTGACTACAAATTTAATATAAATAATTCTTTTTTTGGTTGCTGAAGAGAGGTTCTGATGAAAAAAGGTTTTATATTCTAAGAGTACTCACCCATCCCCTTTCGTATTCTATTTAATTAAATTGAGCCACATGTATGGATAACAATTACATATAATTCAAGTGAATTGAAGAAATATAAATAATATTTGAAAATTAAAATCATGTTATTATGACTTATCAAGTGGTATATGATGATTTGATTTAATTAGATAAAGTACAAAATAATTATTAAAAATAATAATTTCGAACAATATTATTGTGTCCCAAAACATAATTTACTACACATTACAACAATGTTATTACTATATAGACTCTTGATCGCTTAATCTTTTAACTTAGCTCTAGGAATAGATTAATCTTTTAATTATAACATAAATCTCTTTTAAGGGTTATGTGAGGTTATTTCTATCTTTGTATTTTTTAAAACATAATAAGATTATTCATGAATCTTTTTAGTAATAGATTGATCTTTTAATTATAACATAAATCTCTTTTAAAGGTTATGTGGAGTTATTTTTATCATTGTATATTTTAATGTATAGTAAGTTATTTATTTAATATTTAAATAAAATGATTAAATGTCTTCTACACAACAAGTTTTTTGAATTTTTCATATTTAATAGAAGAATAGATTTACTATGTTACCTTTATCATTCAAAATTTTTAGTTTGTTTGTTATTGTTGTTTAGTCATAATTATATTTTTAGTTTTGTTCAAATAAAAAAAATAAAAAAATTGTTGATATGTACCTTTCACTACTTCGTCACTTTTCAATATCATGTGCAATTAGACCCAATAATTGTAATCATGGTTTTGCTATGTCATTTGATTCATCTTGGTATCATTTTTCTTTTTGAGTTGCATGTATATATATATATATGGTGGTTTGACATGGTTTCAACTTAAAATTATTTTTATTTTTCTTTATTTTTTTCTCTTAATTTCTCAGCTTACGTATTAGTCAGTCGTGCAAAAAATCATATTAGATTCAATCTTTCTTCTCTTATTTATAATTTTTTTATTTATATTAATTATTTTCATTAGATTTTATTTTCAGTTCAATCCCTCGTCATTTGATTATTTTAATTTGTTTTCAAATTTGATCTTTATTTTTTGAATTGTTATTTATTTTTTGAAATCATTTTCTTGATTGATTTGTTTTTTTTATAATCACATCCTAAGCATTTATTTTCATTTAATTTTTATATTAATTTTAATTATAATTCTTTTAATTGCTATTTTCTTAATCATTTTCTTAATGGATTTGTTTTTGACAATCCCATTCATAAACAATTATTGATTTTCCCTAAATATTTTATTTTATTTTATTTTTTCATGAATATTTAATTTTATTTAACTTTTATGTCAAATTTAGTCATAATTCTTTTAATTTTTATTACTTTGTTTTGCATTGTTTTTTCATTAAATTACACCCTTCTTCTTTTTTGTTGTCAAATTAAATTGTTTGAGAATTATATTTTTTTTTATTGAATTTGAGTAAATTTTTTTCATGAAATGTGACTTTTAAATATTAGACTGGTTCAGAGATTTGTTGAATTTGCCCTGTTTTTTTTTTCTCTTTCTCTAAATTGATATTTTCTTATTTTTATCCTCTTTTACAAATTTTATTTTATTTTTTATTTAATTCTCTTTTTTAATCCTTGTTTACTTTTTTTATTCGGTTTGATTCTATTGAGTTAACTCTTAATATTATTTTTTCTATTTCACCCTTATTATTTTTTAATCTATAAATAATCTATACTATTATAAATAATTTTTAATTTCACCGCCATAATATTTTAATCTTTCAAGTTTGGTCATAATTCTTTCAAGTGTAATTTTTTTGTTTGAGATATTTTTTTTTCAAATTTCATCCTCATTGGTTTTTTCCTATGAAATTTTAGTCATATTTTTTTTTGTTGTTCCTTTTCCTTTGCAAGTTTTTTTTATTGATTTTAACAATTCAATCATTCAAAATTAAATTAAATAATATTACATTTTTTAATTGAACTCGAGTCCATAATTTACTAATTACAAGTTTTTTAGATTAGACTACTTTTAAGAGATTCACTTAAAATGCTTAGTTTCAACCTCCCCTAATTTTTTTAAGCTGATATATTATATTTTTTTAATTGAAATTTTTTTCTAGGTTTTTTTTCTAGTTAGATTAGCATTAAATTGTTTAATAATCCACTCGAGTGTAATTTTTTCTATTAATTTATTTATTGTTTTTATTTATTTATATTATTTAAATTATCATTTTAATCAATAACTTAATACTTGAATTTTGTAACCCATCAATTTTTTCACATTAAAAAAATATTGTTGATCCATGACAAAAACAGAAACACAAGCAGCAAATATAATAAATAGTATTGTAGTATTTATTGGTTCAAGCTCGAAAACTTTGCAAGGAAAAAAAAAATAATATGAATGGAGATAGATCTCATTAGTCTCTGTAAATAAAGGAAACTTAAGTACATTCCACGTGCAATGCATGGTTTTCCAAGTTGCAGTGAGATGAGACATTCATCAATTTCCATGGAGACCAGAAATTCCAGTGGCTATCAATCATTGTACACTACCAAATTTATAGAAAATGATTTTAAAATTTTTTTATGTTTGTTTATTATTAAAAAAATTAGTTAATAAAAAATATTTTCTAATTAAAAAATTTAACTTAATTTTAAAAAATATATTTTTTTAATTTTAAATGAAAAACACTTTTAAAAAGTTATGATAAATTAAAAAATATCATCTTATTTGCAATTATAATTTTTATATTAACTTTTATTCTTATTTTTATAATTCTTATTTATTTATTTTTATTTTTAATTAAAATTTTTTATTTATCAAATTTAATCCTTATTCTTTCGATTATTACTTTTTTTATTTGAAATAATTTATGAAATAGTAATTATTATTATTTTAATTTTTTTATCTCTTGATTTTTTTATTTTTTAGATTTAATGTCTATTATTTTGATTATTATTTATTTTATTTGAGATAATACATAAAATTATATTTTTTTCAATTTCATTCTCATTCAATTTTTTAATTTATAAAATTTATTTCTCATTATTTTAATAAACTTGAAAAAAATAAAATATTAATAAGTTGTTTTTCATTTTATTTTCTATGATATAACCAAATATTAGAAAGTATTTTTAATTTATTTTTTATTATATTATTAATTATTTAAAAATAATTTATTTTTTTAAAATTTATTTTTTTAAAATTTATTTTATGATAAATAAACAGAACTTTAAACAAACACACATGCTCATACCCACAAAAACAAAAAGGGCATTGGAAATTGAACAAGTGGGACGAGAAAATGGTAACATTTTCATGATGATTGCTATTGAATGTTTCTCATTTCTTTTCACTAAGGGCTCCACTTGTCTTATAATTTGATATTTATATCTTTCTTTCCAGCGTTTTACCTTTTCTTGGCCATCTTTTATGCCCACCAAGATTGCATTTTGGACACTCCCCTTCTCTCCTCAACCTTTAATCATCAAGATTGCTCCCAGTTAACCATTTAGATGGTGATCAAGTGATAAACATTTAGAATTAAAAGGTTTGTTTTTTCTGTAGTCTTAGATTCGAGTCCTTAGTTGCTCATATAATGACCACTGGAGGCTTACATGGTCATTAACTTTAAGGCCCGTGGGATTAGTCGTGGTGCGTGCAAACTGGCCCGGACATCTACGTTAATCTAAAAAAAAAAAATTGCTCCTAGTGGGAGTGGGGCTGACGAGCTGTTTTCTTCATATCTTTACTAGATCCTCTCTGTCTGGTATGCCTATCACTTTTGCGGTGCCTTACCTGTTCACTAGGCTTGCAGGATGTTCAGTGGGCCGTGAGATTAGTTGTGATACACGCAAGCTGATCCGAACACTCATGTTAATAAAAAAAAAAACAAAAAACAAAAAAAAGATTGCATTTTGGACATTCCCCTTCTCTCCTCAACCCTCAATCATGTGTCATATATCCTCATGTATTGCTTTTCGTTAATATCTCTTAATAAAATGGAAAGAAAAAAATTTGGTTGAAAATAATTTAAAATATATATAGATATATATATTTCATTGTATTTTATGTTTTCAAAATATAAAAATTCATTTTTTATAAATTTGTCACGTTGGAAAATGAATTTTTATATTTCGAAAACTTCTTGGTTGGTTTTCATTTTCCCTCTCCATCTTTACTTTGACCATTGATTAATGAGGAGGTCAAAAGACTTGAGCTTGAAGGGCACGTCTTCGGTAGACCTTCCAATATCTAGAAATGTATTTTATCTGCAAATAAGAGCTATATGTACTCCTTTATTATTTAAATCCACCGAGAAATAGTTGAAATATTGATTTCTTTTTAATTAGAACTGTTTTACAAAAATAATTAATAAAATAACACAAATAAAAAAAATATTGGAAAAATAATAAAGTTTTAATTAAAATATAATTAAAAACAACAGTTTTTTTTTAAAGATGTAATTATAAATATTGTAACTTTTTATCGATATTAGAAAAATCAGTGAAGGTATAAACAAGCATTACTCAGGGCACCAAAACTAGATACACACATGTTTACCCAATTAAATAAAAAAATATCTTATTATTTTTTTAAGGTTTGTTTTTTAAAATAGTGACAAAATAAATCAAATGCCATCCGAGAGATTCTTTGAGGTTAGGTTGTTTCCCTTCTCTTTATGCCAGAATTTGTCCGTGACTCAGCTCTGACAAATTGTTCCTCTCCAGCAAAATAGTAACATAAATTCTTGCATCTAAAGGTAATCCATTTCTAATCCACCAACAAAGCTTCCATTTTTATGCTCTCCCTTTGATGTTTGCTCTATGTCTTTACCTTGAAATCATTTTGTTTTGTTCAAGTTTTGGATCTGACTGTAAATTAGGGTTTTTTTGATCTGATATAGAATGCAATCTGCAGTAATTGATTGCTGAAATTCTGTTTGGATTAGTGGGTTTTGTTTCTTGATGCCTCAAGTCATCTTTTGGACTTGAAAGTTTTGATCTTTTTGCTGCACGTGCAATGAATTAGAGCTTACATTTGGAGTGGAATTTTTATTGGTTCAATTAGGGTTTTGGCTTTTGATTGCTTTTGGAGCAATAAGGTTTTTTTGCGTTTGAGAATCCATCACTATGGATGGTAGTGCTGGGGAGTCATCTGAATCTGGGTCTATTGTATCTAGTTCACAATCCTCGAAAAATGGGGCGCATGATGATAATGGTTGTCCTAGGCAAGTGTCACCTGTTAGAATTGATGGGTCAAGGAATACGAGTCCCATGGGTCGCGTTGGACTGAGAAATACTAGTCCTTCGAGACAAAAGGTGATTAAAACCAAACCACGTGGTTTAGATGAGGAAACGATAGCTACATTTGGTAAGGTTGTCCACCCTGATGTTCAAATGGAGGATAACATATGGGCTATGTTGCCTGAGGATCTATTGAATGAGATTTTAGTAAGGGTTCCTCCATTTATGATATTCCGTCTTCGTTCTGTTTGTAAACGATGGAATTCAATTCTCCAAGATAGTAGTTTCCTTAAATTTCACTCCCAAGTTCCATCTCATGGGCCTTGCCTTTTGACATTTTGGAAGAACCCGCACACCCCACAATGCTCAGTTTTCAGCTTGCCCTTGAAAGCTTGGTATAGAATTCCGTTCACATTTTTGCCACAGTGGGCATTTTGGTTGGTTGGTTCTTCAGGGGGCCTTGTTTGTTTTTCTGGACTTGATGGGCTAACTTTCAAAACTGTAGTTTGTAATCCGCTCACACAAACTTGGAGGACATTGCCTAGCATGCATTATAATCAGCAAAGGCAGTTAATAATGGTTGTGGATAGAATAGACCGTTCATTCAAAGTGATAGCCACCGGTGATATTTATGGGGATAAGTCATTGCCTACTGAAGTGTATGATTCAAAACTTGACAGATGGTCGCTTCACCAGATAATGCCTGCAGTCAACCTTTGCTCCTCAAAGATGGCTTATTGTGACTCCAGACTGTACCTGGAAGCCCTTTCACCTCTTGGTTTGATGATGTATAGGCTTGACACAGGTTACTGGGAACACATTCCAGCAAAATTTCCCAGGTCCTTGTTGGATGGATATCTGGTAGCTGGCACTCAGAAGCGTCTGTTTTTAGTTGGAAGGATTGGCCTTTATAGTACTCTTCAGAGTATGAGAATTTGGGAATTAGATCATGCTAAGATTACATGGGTGGAGATTAGTAGGATGCCACCAAAGTATTTTCGAGCTCTGTTGAGGTTATCAGCTGAAAGATTCGAGTGCGTTGGTCAGGACAACTTGATTTGCTTTACATCTTGGAATCAAGGAAAAGGTCTTCTATATGATGTGGATAAGAAGGTCTGGTCTTGGATTGCTGGATGTGCGCTTCAGTCATACAACTGCCAGGTCTGTTTCTATGAGCCAAGATTCGATGCCTACATCTATTGAGCTGGAAATCTTGCTCTCTCTTCTGAACATGTGATTACAAGGCTTTGTTCTGTTGGCTGATTGTGAGTAATGAGTTGAGTCCCTTTAACTTTGCATACTAAATGGTGAGAGCTTTTCTTATCAGCTAACGATTGTAGCTCTTGGAATCAAGACTCTGGCTTGAGCAGTGCTGCTCTCCAGTCAATTTGTGAAGGGTTGGAATTGTTGAAGAATGTAATCTATGGCTAACGATATCTTGGGGAGAATTTGTAAGAAGATTCTCACTCTTTTCCAGCTTTTGTACCTTTCCTGAAAGTAGTAAATAGCATGAAAACTACCCATCTTGAACTATTATGATTTCCTTGCTCATTAGTTGTGGTGCTCGTTTCTGTATATGCTTGTCGACACCGATCTGTGTATTGTAGCTGTTTTACTCAAGCTCGAGATTTCTCGGGGTTCTCTTTCACAAATTGATTTGCTATTATTTAAGCATATGACTCTTGGTTAGAATCCTCCCTTATTTATTAAGATTGCCATTCCTGAAGGAGAGCCTTCCATTTCCAGGTGGGACAATATTTCTTGCACCCATGACCTATGTGGATAGTTTCTGGAAAAAATGGGCGGGCATCATTATTGCAGGCCTTGCATTTGAGGGATACCTCTTTTAGTTACTCCATTGCAACCTGTACAGGTAAGGGATGCATTTTTTTGACCTACAATATATATGCAAACATGGTTTTCCATTGAAGAAGCTTGGGTGGAAGGAAAAGTATTCCTTCAGAGGGTAGAAAAAATGAAAATAACAGAAAAAGAGAGACGAGATGCTGGAATCTCCTGAATCACAGGAGTACTTCTAAGGAGCTTGTTACAACATGCAGACTTTCTTCTTGATTTTTCCAGCTTAGCAACAGAATAAGAACATTCCTGACTTTACCAAGTAAAAGATAAAAAAACGGCATGTATCGGCTTAACATTGCCTGAACAAACATTGTCGTTCCCAGCCCGTGAATCTCTCTCCTTCAAACAAAACGCCGCGCATCACTAACGAACCAAAACGCTGCACCTTACCAATCCGTACGGTCTTCATGGCAACGGTCATTTGTTTAAATTCAGAAAATCACTGTAGCTAACTTATCTTCAGAATTGATACTGTGACAGAAGTGCTGGAGGTTGGTTTTTGAATTTCACTGTTCAAATTCTTTTTAAAAGATGCAGAGAATAGGCATAATCGCTCACATTTTATACAGTTCGTCAAATATTCATAGAAAACAAACCTGATTGTCCCAAGAAATTGCGACTGAGAAGTTTGGTTTTGGACTGAAACCGAGTCGCTAGGACGCTGTAACGCCCGTAATCAATGATTTCAGGTCATCAAACTAAAATTAGACAATACGTGGACTTAATTCTTAAACGAGTCTGAATAATTAAGCACTAAAAAGAACAACGAATTAAACTATCAGTCAAAAGAAAGTACCTCAATGGATTTATCAGGGTTTGTGTTAGTCGGCGCAGTAGCGCCAAAAGCAGACATTGCCTTCTGCAAATAAATAAAAGAATTTATCAGAAGCTAAACAATTTGTTTTTAAAAAATGGTGAAAAGTAAAGATTCAAAGAAATGGAATTTTTAATCAACAAGAGAGAAGAAATGGAATCATGCAAAGGAGGCTGCCTCGGAGTTGGCTATTAAAAATTTAAGGAAATGAAGTTAGGGGTTGAATTAAAATAAGAAAAGAAAAGAAAGAGAGAAGTGTCGGGTTTTAATTATTTAATGAGACATTTTCTATTCACATTTTATTTTTTTTATTTAATTTTCTAGTAATGTTATATACACGCACACACTCACTCCAAGAGTATTATTTTCGCACTTTTCATTTTCATTTTCATTTTCTTCTTTTTCTTCTTGTTTGTTTTTAGAAAAAATCAACTTAAGCTTCTTTATAACAATTTTCATCTATCTAACTGGAATTTATCATTGTTTGGATTTTAGATATATTATTATCCATATCCAAATGAACACCCTTATATAAAATTTATTTATTTAGGCTAAATACGTGCCTCAGCTAAAATTATTTTTTTAATGTAAAAAAAATATTCAAACCACATATTTATTTGACGTTATCATTAAATATAGTCTAATCAAACTTAAAACCTCTCAACTCTTTACTTAAACGTAAAAAAATAGGTTATAGGCTTAACGAATCAACTTTAAAATCTCATGTAAAATTAATTAATTTAGGTTAAATTAGGTTACTAGCTGCATTATGTCATGACTCAAATTAAAATTTTTTTGAGCATAAATGTTTTTTTCCAGGCCATATGAAGACTATTTGACATTATTATTAAACATAACCTAATAGGTCAACCTTAATCTCTCTCAACTTGATTGCTTGCTTGACTTGAGTTTAAAACTAAATCATATGGAAATTGCCTCAATGTAGCTTAGTCGACTTTGAGAGTCTAAAGACAATCCAAACGATTGGTAAAAAACATATATATTTTTTTTAATTTTAAGAAAAAAAATTCAAGATGAATTACTGGATTGAACCAAACTTTGCGGTGTAACTCGCCAAATCTGCAATCCAATTGATGAACTCCACTAGGTTTAAGAATTTTTTTAAAACTATTAATTATATCATAATAAAAATAAACACTCATAAAATCAAGAACAAATCAAATGTCAAGATGTTTGTAAAAGACTGTAATAACCTCATATAAAGCAAACCAAAACAAATTATGAAAGATAAATTCAAAGTCAAATAAATATTGAAGGATGAAATTGAGAAAAAAATAAAAAGAAATGAAAAGAAAACAAGGGTAAAATAAAAAAAAAATGAAGAAGAAAGGAGGGATTAAAAAAAGCCTTCACTTTTCATATGAATAGTGAAAAGGTGCATTTCACCCTAAATTGTTTAGTATAAAAAGCATAATATAGCAACACTTTGTACTACTCGTTGAGAAGTATCTCTTTACTTTTATAAGCGGATTGTGATTTCAAAGGTTTGAATAATGTTCAAAGGGAATTGAGCTTTAATTTTTTACTTTTTTTTAAGAGATTACTAGTTTACAAGAAAATGCTATGTTATAGGTCAGATCAAATTTTTTAAATGTAACAAAAAATGCCTAAGTCAGAGAGAACTATTCGACATTGTTATTAAAGTCGACTTAACATATAAACCTTGAAACCTTTAGGTATGACTCCTTGTTTAGCCCAAGTTTAAAATTAAACCAAGTAAAAGTTGTTTCAATATAATCTAGTCGACTTGGTTGGTCGAAAGACAACCCAGTTAATTGATAACAAAAAATTTAAGGATAAAATGATGAAATTGACAAAAAAACCTCTTAACCTTACTTCTTGCCCAGCTCGGACTTCAAACTAAACCGTGTGAGAGTTTTCTTAATATGACCTAGTCAATTTAGCTAGTCTAAAAGTAACTCAACCTACTAATAAAAATATTTTAAAGATAAAATTGAGAAAAAATAATATGAAATTGACAGAACAAAAACCCTATTGATGCGATCCAAGTAACACTAAGAGAACCATTAGAGGTTTGAGTTGGTCTGGTGATAACATTTAGGGTTAAGAGGTTTAAAGAAACTTTCAATTGAATTTTTCAAGACATATAAGTCGAGGTGAACTTAAATAAGATATAAAATAATAAAGAGAAAGCCTTGATTAATTTAATTCATATTCAATAACGACTTGTTGGTGGGCATTCATTTAAGTTCTTGATTGACATTGCAAACTTTTTAAAAGATTGATCAATTTCTTTTTTATGATTTTATAATACTCTTTCATTTTTTTTATAGGCATAGGTTGGAGGTGATCATTGTATGTAACTTTGGTTCTTCAAGGCAAATTCTTGTTGGATAAAGTTGCAAACCATTAAAATCTAATTTTAGCGTATCTCCAGACATGTTCATATCATTTAGAATTAAAGCTTGTACTATTATATATTATATCCGTTTAATTTTTAGTTTGTGTTATTTCTTGATTTTCTTTCTTCCTAGTTTTGGATAATAGGGTCTTGTTTCTTCCAAAAATATAATCTATTTTTCTTTTATTATTTCAAAGTGTGTGTCAACCCTTATATATGAAATAATTCATCTTGCTTACTTTCTTGATTTTGCAAAAGACATAAAAAAAAAATTATATTCTTGATCTTCATCTTCTATCTTTCTTGATTTAAACTTATAGTAAAAACAAATTATTGAATTGACAAGTTATGGCATAACTGAACCCAAGCCTTTTAGTTTTAGAGTTGGCCAAAAGTTTCTTGAATATTTTTTTGATGCTCATTTCATTTAAATTTGGATAGTATCAATCTTTTTTGCTTTATTTTATTTTTTTCTTGAAATTCTTAAAGCTGAATATTGACTTCTTGAATTAATGAGTTTTCTTTCTTCAACATAAACTCCATTGCTTTTATCTTGTGTTTTTTTTTTCTATCATTATATTTTGTACAAATTTATATTGCTATTCATAATTTTTTCCTTAAGTTTTGTTTTGATTATTTTCATATATTTTCTTGATTTTTGAGTCTTCATTCATTATATTGTTTTGATTAATTATTTGATAAGTTGTTAAGTTACCTTTAAGAACCTAAGTAAGGAAATCATGAGGTAAAATGCATAATGAGATTATTAGAGTGAAAAACCCGATTGAATTGTGTGAATCATAAGTGGGATGACATTAAATTAAGTGTAAATGACATTATCAAAAGATTGATGTCTTCTTCCAAGTGCATAGGTGTCGAAGTAATAAAAAACCTAGTAAGACTGAGGTTGAACCATAGAGAGGTTAACTATATAAATTATAAATAACAACAAATTAAAGAAGACTTTGAAATGTAAGATTAGTGTAAAGATTAAACAATGATAAAAATAAATGTCAAGGTTAGAGGATTCACTAATAGTACTTCAAACAAGTATAGTATAAACTCATTTTATTACTCAACTGGAAATCACACACAAAGAAGGTTTTAGTCGGATTATAAATGGTTAACATGATTACGTTAGTTATCTTATTTGAATAATACTAATACTTGTAAATGTTGTCAGATATTCTTGGTTATAACTTATGTTAACAACAAATCAAGTTCCTATAATAGCACAAATATCAGTTATACCATACGATTAGGCTATGAAAATACCAAGTATTTGTTGTTTCAAGTGTTATATAACATAAATTTAGATTAACCATTTAACAAGTAAAGTAGTAAGAGTGAACAATATAACAAATACAAAACATGTTAGTATCAAACATTAAAGTCCATGTTGAGTTTATACTATATTTATTCTTACACTATCAATGTAACCTTTTTACCTTGATATAATAAAATTAACTAAAAGAAGAGAAACATAAATAAATAAGAGAAAACATAAATAAAAAAGACTTAATCGAAAGTGAAAAATCTTGTAGAAAGACAAGATAGGTTGGAGGTAATGATGAAAGCTTTGATGAGAAAGGTAGATAAATTGAGTTCTGATGATTAGGAGATATAATGTTCATAATCATAAGAGAAATGAGGTTAAAAGGTTTCCCACATAGGCATTTTCTCTTCCAGATGAAAGTGTAGCAGAAAACTTCAATGATGACAAGGAGGATGATGTATTTAATCATGAAAAGGAGTTCCATCAATACTAAAATCTCTTATATGAGGCACGACCAATGAGAGAGTTTGGTGGTAGATTTTGGATAAATTAAGACTTCAACCGAGGGAAAATTTTGATAATCATGATGGTTTAGATCAAAATTTAGGAAGCATAAAACTTAAATGTCTAGTATTTCAAGGAAAGAATGATCCAAAAGCTTATTTTAATTGGGAAAAAAAGATGAAATTTGTATTTGATTACCATCGATCTTTTGAGGAAAATAAGATAAAACTAGTTGTAGTTGAATTCATTGATTATTTTATTGTTGTTACAGGTAGGAGGTTTAATGGAGAAAGAAGCATTAACACATGGAAAGAGATGAAAGTAATAATGAGAAAAATGTT